GGCTCGGCTCGGACTCCGCCTAGGCTTGACTCCCAGAGTGCTCACCTATAAATACATATATACAAACAATGAGCTAAAGCTCAGCAAGTAACATTAAAGTAAAGGGGTAGTGAACGAATTCCGCATTTCATATATCCATAACATAAATCATTCATAAACATAATCATCTCATATCAGAACATACATAATGGCATACTCCATAGAACATAACATTTGTCGTCCAACGACTAGAGTAATCGGTCCCGGACACCGATTAAACACATACCGAGATCTCGTAAACTGGTCCACTTAGGACTATCTATGGATGCCATACTAGATTCGCAAACTGGACATTCGTTCACAGAAAACATTTATCATTTCAAAACCATAGCATAACGTAGCACTTTTAAACATAGATCATACTAACATATCTTTATAGAAATGTTACTCACAGAGGGTTTCCGAAACCGAATGCACGGTCTTCAAATCTTGACCTGCAAATATCAACATATCACACATTTCTCAATACACATTGTCATTAAATCCTGTAATTCATGCACTTCATTCTTTCCTTTATTTCATTTCATGTTCATTCTAATCTTTCTTTACTTTGATTCATACTCATTTCATGTTCATAAGATGATAAATGATGCAATTAACATGTTAAAATCAAGTCTGCAACTTCCCCAAAATTTTCTTGAAAAAGGCCTTCCCGCTCGAGCGCCACTTTGTCCGCTCGAGCGGACTGCACAATTTTCCGAAACTGCTGGGAGGCCTATTTTCACGCTCGAGCGAGAATACCTCCGCTCGAGCGGACCGCGCGAAAATCTGAAATTCTGGACTCTTCTCAAGCTTTAACCTTTCCTTTTTGCAAAAACACTTCAACATTGATGAAAACCCAAGTCCCAAAACACTTGGAACCCACTTGATTTCAACATTTTAGCTTCTAAACAAACCCAAATGCATCATGCACAAGATCAAACCATGATTTAAAGTGAAGAATCATAACTATTCATGCATAAAAGCTTCATTCTTAAATCCATGGAGGTTCTTCCTCAAAATATGACAAATATAACCATAAATCATCTATTCATGCCATGCATGCTCAAATTAAACATATTTCCCCTTTCAATCCTCTTATTTAACACGAGATCATTGATGTATCAACCTTATTTCAGGAAATTAGAGAGGAATCCTTACCTTAATCACTTAATTGTAGAAGATTTAGCTTGACTCTCTCTTTCCTCCTCTTCTTCCCCTTTCTCACGAATTCTCTCCCTCTCTCCTTTCCAGATTTTTTCTTCTCTTTTGTTTTTGAGTCAAAGAGTCAATAAAGGCCCTTATACTTATCTACATATCATTTATAAACAATTGTGCCAAACTTTGAGCCAAACATGGCCTAACGAATCAGACGAAATTCAGTTCTCAATTTATTTTCCCAAATGGCTCTAAAAATTCCCGGTATCACATAGGCGTGCTCAATTTCGTTTTCTGAACCCATTACGGTCATCAATTTCAGTCCCGAAGACGTAATCTGAACAGGTATTTTCTAAGTTCAATAGATAATCTTCAATTAAATCATACTAACACATAATTAATTACTGGTAATCATGGTATACGATTCTGGGTCGTTACAATTTCGATGAATAATGATGAGACACATGTCAGAACTTGAAGCTGAAGTTCCAGCGGAGCAATTTCGCGACCGAAAGTGCATTTCTCTTGAACTTTTTCAGGACCTGGGAACTCCAATCCTCCTCAAAATTTGCAGAGAGCTAGGTGAGCATGTGGGAAACATGGCCGGCTTGTTATTTTCCCAAGGGGAGGTGGCCGGCTAGTTTTTCAAAAAGAGAATAGTCGGCCGGCTAGAAAACGTGGCCGGCCGGCCACCTGCCCAAATCCGCGGGCAATTTGGTCTTTTCACCTTCTTCTATATATATCCTCTCACCCAAACACTTTGAGCTCATAACATCAGACATTAAATCTTCTCCTCTTGCTTCCCAAGCCATTTTCTCCTTCAGATCCGGGTTCTACACGTGTTTTCCAACGCTCCACGCATGTTGTTTTCGCGAAAACATTCAGTTTCAAGCACTTTGAACTGATTAAATTTTGATTTCGGGGCTTCTTTTCTCATTTTCGCCACTTGAGGTGAGTTTGTCTCAACATTTGGAAGATTTTCTCGGGAGTTGACTTTTGTTGACTTTTGCATTTCCCGAGAGTTGACTTTTGCATTTCGCTCATTTTTGCTCCTTTTGCAGATTTGTTGAAATGACGGGTAATTTTCCTCATGGTGGAGGCTCTCCAGGTGCCGGGGATGATTTTGATGTCATGACTTTGCCTCCGAGGGTTCGACCCTTTATTCCCGAGAGGTATGCCCCACATGTTCTTCCCCGGGCCACTTTTCGTCACTTTACTGACTTTGATGATCGAGCACCCGGGGATCTACTTCTGCGAGAGCCAGAGCATCACCTCTCCTATGAGGCACGAGAGGTATTTACTTTATTTTCTGCATTTTTTCATGCATTTTGTGCCTTTGCCATGCTTGAACACACAGTTTAGCCTATGACATAGTACTTTGTTTGCATCTTGAACATGTAGCTTAAACACTTGAATTTCTGAACACTCGGCTCATTAATTGATTGCGAACGCACGGTACACATTAGTTAAGAAATGAACACACGGCTCAAACACTGATTTGTCGAACACACAGCCCGAATTTGAAGGTGAACACACAGCACACACTGACTAAGAGTAGAACACGCAGTCCAAACTCTGATTTTCTGAACACGCAGCCCAAGTTGAAGGTGAACACACAGCCCACATTGATTAAGAGTAGAACACACAGCCCAAACTCTGATTTTCTAAACACACAGCCCACACTGATTAAGAGTAGAACACACAGCCCAAACTCTGATTAAGAGTAGAACACACAACCCAAACTCTGATTTTCTGAACACGCAGCCCAAGTTAAAGGTGAACACACAACCCACACTGATTAAGAGTAGAACACACAGCCCAAACTCTGATTTTCTGAACATGCAGCCCATTTACTTGCACACAACTTATTCATTTCATTGGCACACAGCTCATTCATTTCATTGGCACACAGCTCATTCATTTCATTGGCACACAGCTTATTCATTTTTATACTGACACATGTATTCATTCTGGATGCAGGTTGGTTCTCGCAATGTGCGGGGATATGGCTCCACCGCTGCGAGAGATTGGTATACCGAGTTCCCGGAGGGTGTCCGGGATTTAGTAGACCTGGCGGGGTTCGGGGCCTTCTGCATGGGATTATCGCGTTGTCCTGCCAGGAGGACATTGATGGCCGCTTTGGTGGAGAGATGGTGGGACACCACCAACTCCTTTCATTTTTCCGCCACTGGGGATTTGACTATGACCCCGCTGGATTTCGCTGTATTGACCGGCCTGGACATAGGAGGTTGGTCCATTCCTTATGACGAGGACATGGACGAATGGGAGGCCGCTTGGATACACTTACTGGGGGCCCGCCCGCCTATTGACAGGGCTTCCGGGAGAGTCCGATATACTTGGTTCTCTTCCCATTTTCGGCGGGTGGAGATGGAGCCCGGGACTCCTGAGGAGACAGAGCAGCATGCCCGCGGTTTCTTATGTTCCTCTTCGGGACTACTCTGTTCGCCGATAGAGGGAACACGGTTGGGCTGTATTTGTTGAGCGCTCTAGTTGACCTATCACAGGTCAGTCAGTACGACTGGGGTGGCGCCGGCTTGGCTACCCTTTACTGTTACATGAGCGCGACCTCCCGCGGGCAGGGAGACTTACTTGGCGGTTACTGGAGAGCCTGGGAGGTACTTTCTGTCCTCTTGATTTACATTTCTGCTCCTCATTACTTGTACATTGCACACACAACGCACTTTACAGTCTGTATTTTGCCCTCAGCACTTTGTATTTACATTCTGCACTGTTTTTCTCAGTTATGGGTCTACGTATACTTCCCGACGTTAGCCCCAGAGTTGGAGGTGGCAGGGCCCCTCATGACCCCGTACTCGCTGGTGTTCGAGGGCCAGCACCGGCCGAGACCTCGAGAGACTCTCCTTTATCTACGGCAGTACTTTGACACTGTGCGGCCATCGGAGGTACTTCAGAACTCTCAGTCCCTTCCATTTTCATCTTTGATTTGCCACGCATATTCTCGATTTTTGATTGGTTTATGCACTTGTTATCCGCAGATCACATGGCAGCCCTGGGCACCCTTGGGTGATGGTCTCCGATTTCAGTATGCCGGAGGATCGGGTACCTCCCAGTACAGGCTCCTGCTCGAAGGACCGGTTGGTAGAGCATGGTTTCTGGGGGAACGCTTTTTACGTTAGGTGTGGGGGTACCTTTCTCAGGATCCTCCCGCAGCACCTCCAGTCAGTATGCGGACTACTGATAGGTTCTCTTCCCAGGATGTAGTCAGTGCTATGCTGGGTACCGATTCTTTGTTACATCTCGAGGAGGGGGACTACGCCACTTACCATCATACATACCTGATGCCTCCATTGACGGGAGTTCGCACCCCGATGGCGAGGTCTGCTGGTATGCCATCCTCTAGCCAGGCTCGGGCTGCAGACGCCCCTTCCACCAGCAGGGCTGGTACATCTAGAGGTGGGGGTAGACCGGTTCCCCCGATTCCTCCGACTCTTTCTCATCCCGGGTGGCCGAATATGCCGACTGAGCTGATGGGGGTGGCAGCTTGGGGCTACCTCTCCGAATCCGATCCCGATTGAGCCTCCGATGCCCGGTCATCGATATGCCATTGATCCCGACTCACCGCTGGTATGTTCTACTGCTTTTCATCTATCATTCAAATGCTTTAGACACTCCTTTATTCGTTGATGATTTGAGCTTGTATTTGCAGCCACCCAGAGAGTATATGGAGGAGGTGGTCGGATTGGTAGCCTCACTCGAGGGCATGGTCTTGCGGAGGGAGGCACAGTTGTCTATCATGGGCTTTCAGGTACCCTTCAGTTTTCTGGCATTTATCATACTTCTGATGACATGCTGATTTCTACTGCATTGGTAGGCTATTTGTGTAGAGCACATCTGACACACACCCCACTTGTACACTGTGTTTACATGTACCCACTTCATGTAGCCCCTTTTTGCTTGCATCTGCATCTGATGTACATATTTAGACTGATGTATTTAATTTGAACTCTTTGTTCTCAGATGCCTCCGGTATATGCTCAGCCGCGGGCCGGGCCACCTGGGCCTTCTTGGGGAGCTGGGCCATCTGGGCCTTTTCAGGGAGCTGGGCCATCCAGGCCTTCTCAGGGAGCTGGGCCATCCAGGCCTTTTCACGGAGCTGGGCCATCCAGACCTTTCCGAGGAGCTCGAGGAGGGTCCTCTCGTAGACGCAGGACACCTGTTGTAGAGGCGGAGCCCGATGAGGAGGAGGAGGAGGAGGTTACCGACCGTCAGTCAGAGACATCTGCTGAGGAGGGGGACTCCGGTCTTGGTTCCGGGAGCGGAGGCGAGGCTGAGGGGGATCCTCAGGGCGACAGCTCCGACCCAGATGATGATGATGGTGCAGAGGTTGTCCCGTAGAAGAGGATGAGGAGTGCCTCTCATTCTCGCTCCCGAGGGCATTGATGCTGCTGTTTCCTGCTTTATTTTCCTTTTTGCTAGTAGTTTGTAGCAGTTCGCATATTGTTAGGCAGTTTTATTTTTCTGTAAAACTTGTACCTTTGTTTGTTGTAAAATATGATGGAATGAAACAACTTTTGAAAAGGTGTTTGTATTTGAAACTTTTAGCATCGTATCGCATTATTTTATTTTGCACAAAAATGAAATTGAATGGGAATGTGCATTGTGTAATCACCAAGTCAGGTAGTGAACCGACGCAACAAACTAAGCAACTCAACTTACTAAGATATAACAGAATCCTAGCAAGTTTACAACTCGATAAACAAAATGCAATAATGTTAACAATTCGATAAACAAGACTTAAACAAAAAGCTTAAACAGAGAGTAACAACTCAAAAAAAACGAAATACGACAGCTCGACAAACAACTCGATTAGCAAAACGACAACTCGATAAACAAAACAACAACTCGATAAACAAGACTTAAACAAAAGCGAAGTGTACTTCGGACGATCTGGGCACCGGAACGCATCCGAGACAGAGGGAAATAGAGGCTTTTGACACATCCGTTGCACGGAAATACTTGAAACTTTCCCTCGGATGGTAAAACAGGGCCAAAGGCATACACTGAGCATGGCCGGCCACTTTTATTGCAGATAGGGGGGCCACCGGCCAGTTTTTTGTGTAGGAAAGGAGAAATGTAGCCGGCCAGCTAGAAAAGGTGGCCGGCCGGCCACTTATTCCTGCAGCCACTTAGTTTTTGACACGTGTCCCCGTGAATAGTATTTTTTCCTCTATAAAAGCCTCAACTTCGGGAACATTCATTTCATCTTAGTTTTACACAAAGATGGAGGCGTTTCTCGCGGAAAATCTCACATCTTGGATCTCTTCTCTAGACGGCTCGGAAAAGCTGAACTTCCGGGGTTTCGGCTTGAATGCACTATTCACGCTGAGCCGTACTTGGCTACATCTCCCTTTTCTCCATGCCGCGGCGAGGTTTTGGAACCCGGTGACGCACGTCTTTAGCTTCAGCGATCAAGAGGTATGTCCAACTTTTGAAGATTTTCAGGTTTTGATGGAGTCTGAATGTCATGAAGAGATCTTGCCCCAGCTCCGTTTTGGCCATGCCCAGGCTTTAGGGCGGATGTGTGGACTCACCGCGAATGATGCTCGGTCTCTGATCTGTAATGGGGAACTGGATATCCTTGGCTTGATCCATCGCTTTTCTAACGCCGGTGACCGCAGCAACCATTATTGGCAAGGTTTCCGGCAACACGCCCTTTGCTTGTGCTTGCTATCTCACTTTCTGCTTTCCTCGGGCTTTGGCGGAGCTAGCATTCGTCTGATTGAAGTTGCCCAAGGCTTGAGAGAAGGAAAGAGCTGCATCGCCATGACCTTGGCTGAGACGCTGATGGGCTTGGATTCTGTCTATCGCCGGGAGACGACCAGATTTGCTGGGAGTCCACTGCTGCTGCAGGTAATGTTTCCCACCCAACCTTACATATGTATTTGCTCACATCACTCGGCCCTCAGGTTCGGTTTTTCTCACAAAACCCTTGTCTTACTTTTCTCTCACCGTACATCTCTCTATTCTTTATTCTCTCATTTTTAATCCCTCCCCAGGTATGGTTAATGGACAAATTGCAGGTTGTGGACTCTTGCCCGGCCTACTCGGCTCGAGGCTATTTCTTTCGACAGCGCCTAGTCGAGGCACCCGATGAAGGATGGTGGTTTGATTGGATGTGCAATTTGTCCGCAGATCGCATTGCTTGGCGTTGTCCTTGGCTCAATCTCCCGGCAATGATCTATAGCATGTCCCGGCTGATCGGGATCCAGTTGATTGGTCTAACCCACTGTGTATTCTACTTTCCGTTCCGGTTCCTGCGCCAGTTCGGTCATGATCAGATCTGCCTACCAGAGGGGATTGAGTACCCAGTTGCTTTCCCGGTCCGAGGTGCACAACTTGCCCGGTATGCCACAGCATGGAGGACAAGAGAGCTCCTGGCTCCTGCTCCCACTTTCAATTGCACTTTGTCTGACGAGTGCTTGGATTGGCTCAATGAGGAGGCATAGGTTGGGCCTAGCTTGGCGTCAGAGGCTTCGACCAGCTCTGGGAGGGGGCGCAGGGATACTTGACTTGACTATGCCCCGAATTTATTGCTTTATTAGTACTTTCAAGTTTTCTTTATGAATGTAATAAAAAGCAACTTCGATTGTATGCAAGAGCAGGAGAACTCTGTTTTGAAATCAATGAAATTGAAGGTTGTGGTACTGAAAATTTTCCGCTTTTGGTCCAAAAATGGTCTTAGTCGTAAAAAGATTAATTTGAACAAAGTCGACTTTTATTAAAACTTTTCAAAACTATTTTCGATGTGGATCAGAACTGGACACGACTGAGATCTGTCACTGAGATGCACAACCCCAGATCCCTGTAACTGGAAAGTTGCCCCTAGTTTGAAGAGTACCGCGGCACTGCATGGCAACGGAAAGTTGCCCCTAGTCTGAATAGCGTTGCACCGTAGTAGCAACGGAAAGTTGCCCCTAGTCTGAATAGCACTGTACCGGAGATCGCGATAAATGCTGATGGGTAAAAATGACCGAGATGATCAAAATGGACAAAGTTGATCGGGGAAGAGTTTATGGCTGAACTTCAAGGTGAAGTTGCCTACGTATCCCAAAGATGGGAATCAAGCCTTACGTAGTTCAGGCCTAGGTTCACTCGGGTATTTTCACTCTCCTTTTGCGTTCTAACTTTTGCCAAGGCCGCCCTTTGGGGGTTTTCAACCTTGCGAGCTCAGTTTTTATATTTTCCAATTTTTTGTGCTCTAACTTTTGCCTAGGTCGCCCTTTCGGGTTTTTGGCCTAGCGAGCCTCTCAAGGGTAATATTTCTTCAACTTGTCCATGTTGATCGATTGTGAAAACTCTAGGCCATCTAGATCCATCAGAACCACAGCTCCACCTGACCAGATAGCTTTGATGATGTAAGGACCAGTCCAATTGGGTTTGAACTTGCCCCTTGGGTCGTGGATGGGAGCTCGGTTGTCCTTGAGCACCAAATCTCCTTCTTTTAGGTTCCTGGACTTAACCTTCTTGTTGAAAACCCGAGCAATTCTACGCTGATAGCCTTGAATATGGTACAGTGCTTTCAGTCTTCTCTCGTCAAAAAGCATGAGTTCCTCAAATCTGCTCTGTTGCCAATCTGCCTCGGCTATTTGGCACTCAGCCAATACTCGTAGTGACAGAACCTCAATCTTGATAGGTAGAACGGCCTCCATCCCGTAAACCAATGAATACGGAGTCGCTCCAGTAGAAGTTTTGATTGAAGTCCTGTAGCCCCACAGAGCAAACGGCAGCTTATTTGGCCAATCCCGGTAGGTTTCCACTATCTTCTGCAGTATGTGTTTGATATTCTTGTTGGCGGCCTCGACCGCTCTGTTGGTTTGCGGCCGGTATGTAGATGACTTATGGAAAGCCACGTTGTATTTCTCCAACAAGTCTATCACTTCCTTCTTGAAGTGGGAACCATTATCTGAAATTATCTCGTTTGGGACCCCATAGCGACAAATGATGTTGTTCCTAATAAACTTTGCAACGTGTGACGCCTTCAACACCGCATATGATTGGGCTTCGACCCACTTCGTGAAATAATCTATCGCAACCAGGATGAACTCATGCCCATTTGACCCATTCGGAGTGATGGCCCCGATCACATTGATTCCCCAAACTGAAAAAGGCCATGGAG